TGGGCCTGGCTGAATCCCCACAGAGCAACTTCCAGGGAACATCAATACCTGACCCTTCACACCAAACAGCAACTCTGTTTCCATTGATTCAAATAWTCTGGACAGTGGGCAGCTGAGTGCACATACATTTTAGCCTACTACTGGGAAGCTGACAGTCAATGGTCACAGTATTCAAGGATCTGCAGTATCCACACCCATGCAATACAGCTCCCAAATGATACCACAAACACTAYAGAGRGAATCAAGAGCCRACTCCAGCAGAGRATTTGTTCTCAGGTGCTYTCAAGCCCTGTCTCCWCTTCCCCACAATCACCTCTGCTCTTTGTGCATATGGTATTGGCTTTGATCTTGTGCTGGATCATGGCAGGCAGGCAAAGTTGTGAATACAYAGAGGTTTGCCTGAATCCATGGGAGAGCAGACTGGAAAATAAGCTCTCAAGATGGGAAGGAGAACGTGAACAGCACACTGCAGCAGCAGACACCTTGGCTCACCTCATCTCCTGGGACTCTTGGAAATCCAGCTGCTGAGAGCTTCGGAGAGGCACCGCAGCACTGGCAACCAGGGGACTCACTGTCCTGTGTACAGGGGGGATCCAAGGGAGTCCCAAAGACCCCTTCTTCATATCCCCATCTCTTGGAAATCCAGCTGCCGAGAGTGTGAGAGAGACACAGCAGCTCTGCCAACAGGTGGGTGTCTTGACTATAAGAGGGATTCAAAAGCCCACTCATCTTCATATCACCATCTCTGGAATAAACTGGCATTAAGGACACACTGCTCAGATCAAGCATCCAGCCTTGCCTCCTTTCAAGTGTCAAGAAGTTTAGCCATGCTTTTAGCTAACAGTTGGCAGAAACAGAGAAGTCAAACTGATGSAGCAGCTTTGCCTGTGACAGGGTATGAAAGGTGGAAGTGGGCTCTGGGCTGTTCTCCCYATGACCACTTCCCATCACTTCACTCTTGACAAAGCCATGCCAGAGCACAAAGCTGCCCAGAAGCTGATGAAATCTAGAAAGAGTATCAGAGACAGCTGTGCAGAAGGGCATGGCTGTACACCTCAAAAGCTGAGATAACCTGGAACAGACATGGCAGGACAGCCTGTGCCAGCAAACACCTTTGTCCATCCAAACCAGACACAACTGACAGAAACCACCACCAAGATATAGACATGGATACCTGTAGTTTACTTAATGTAGGATTGSTTGACCAGATTGGACAAGTTCAGCTGCTCTGACTGATTGTTGCTGTTTTCTCAGCCATAACCGAGAGGAGGAGCCACTACAGATCCCAGGAGGTGCTCAAAGACCACTCCTGCATTGGTACACGCTGAGGACATGACGTCTACACTACACACCCATTGCAAAGACAGCCTGGAGTGCAATGTCCAGTTGAGCTCTCCCTTGGCTCAGCTGCTTCCCTGGGCTCACACTGCACGTAAAGGTGTCAGCGCTCTGCCTACAGGATGTAAAGTGAACATCCTCCCCAAAATGCCATAGCATGGTCTCCTTACCTTACACCCTTCTCCTTCTGAAATTGGCTCCTGGCTGTTTCTACCCAAATCATGGTAGCCAGTTCCACATCTCCCATTCTTCTCCCCCTCGTATATGCTGTTTCCCTTTGAGGAAGGAGAGCTCTTCCAGATGGAAGGCAAGGGTGTGGAAGATGTCCGAGCAGAGTCACGTGGACGGAAAGACTTGGAAAATATGAAGGTGGCCACGCCTGCAAAGTGAAGACAAAAATATAACAGATGCTGCAATGCAATCCTAAACTATCTAAAGCTACATGGGGACCTAAACCATCTAAACCTACATTCATGGGATGGATGTCATGGACACGTCTCAATAGCTGCACAGGGAAAATGCTCCTGCTGGCAGCCACTTGAAGCAGGCCAGGGGACACCCTGACCCATTCCCACAGAGCTGCCACAGGAACACCCTGGCCTCTGGGCTGCTGTGGCACAACAGRGAGCCCAGAGCCC